TGATTTGAAGTATTAAATTTTAAATTATTGAGTTTAATAATAGATTTTAAGGTTCTTTGTTTGACAAATAAATCTGCTTAATTGTGAAATTAGTGATAGAATTAGCTTAAGCCAGCTTGACTTGGCTTAAAAGTCAAGCTGAGCCAGCTTAAGCTGACTCAAGCAAGCTAGCTTAAACTAGTCTAAGCAAACTAACTTACATAATATATTTTATAACATAACTTTCTTATTATTTGTTAATTATGAAAATTAAAATTACATTATAATTGGCCATTTTAAAGATTATGCAACTACTAACTAATTAAAATTTATTAGTTATATATAATATTTATTAATTTAATATATACTTAACTAACTTATATATAATACAAATTTATATAATATATAACAATCTAGACATCAAGAATACAGAAATTATGTGATTTTGTTTTAGTATAATTCTTGACAAACTACATCAAATTATATAATTACTAATTGTTATATATTAATTTTTGTATAATTAAGAGTTCTTAATAAACTTTAAGTTATACAAATTATTACTAAATTATATAAATTCTATATTCCTGCTAGATATGTACTAAATCTGTAATAGGTTATATCAATCATCATTGTAAAAACAAAAAAAATCACAAATAACTCAAGATTTTATTATAATAATTAGTTTGACTTCAAAATAAAAATTTTCAGCACAAAATTTTAGTTATATAAAAACATTTTTAATATTAAATATTAAGTAAATTAAAGTCTGTACTAAATTTTGATCTTTGTACTCTTGATTTATAATCAGCATAATCTGTTACAGATTTAGTATATATACAATTCAAATTTATTATATAGAAACAGATTAAAACAATTTAATAAATTATGAATGATAGTTATATTTTAAAAAAAAATTACTATGTTAAGGTGTAAAAGTACTTTAAAATAAGATTGTTATTAGACATATGAGTTAGAAGTCAATAAAAAAAAGTCAAATTTTTTCTAAGTAAAAGTTTTCTTGACTTTAAGCTTAAATATTTTAACAACTATTTTATTAAATATAATAAATTTTTTTTATTTTAATCTTGAAATTATATAGAATTAAAATAAATAAAAATTTATTATATTTAATAAAATAGTTGTTAAAATATTTAAGCTTAAAGTCAAGAAAACTTTTACTTAAAAAAAATTTGACTTTTTTTATTGGCTTCTTTTTATATATTCAGTTTCTTGAACTTTGGTCTATTTAATTCTAATTCATCAGTTTTAAGTAATTGAACAGTCCAGTTTTATTCAATTTAATTAGTTCAATTTAGTTTACTTTAGTTCAGTTACAGTTTAGCAATAAATCTATACAAATTTTTATAAAAATATATATTTTTTGGTTCAATAACAATTTTGCTCTAGATTGTATAAATTTGATTAAATAAAATTAGCCAATCATAAGAAAGTTACTTTATAAAAAATTTCACCAAAACAATAAGCAACAATACTAAAATAGCAAAAGCCTAAAGTTTTATCACAATGATAAAAATTATATTAGCAAATTACTAACAAATAATTACTCTAACAACAATGTACTAGAAAGAATATAAAAAAAACTAATACTTAAAAATAACCTGCTTCTAATTTGTGTTTAAAAAAAAAAGACAAAGTTCTAAAAAAAAAAAAGGTAGCTTTAGTATATTAAAAAAAAATAATGTTAGCTTTAGTATACTAAAAAAAAAGAATAAAAACAAATACTTATCTTTACAGAGATTAGTTTAGTCTAGATTTGCATTCTAAGAAAACATTACTGTATACTAGAAAAAAGACTAATATGTATTTATTTTAAGTATATGATCAAAAATCCATCTGATGGCTATTAATTTAATATATATAAAAATACTATCAATTATATGAGTGCTACTAAAGAAATGGAAAAAACTGTCAATGTTATACAACTAATTTTTCACCTAGTATGCAATATATAAAAAAATTATTTTACAATATTAGATCATTCTGCTAGTACATGTTATAATTATAATCTTACACTATTTTATTATAGTAAAAACAGTGTGAGATTATAATTATAATATGTACTAACAGAATAATTTGATATTGTAAAATGATTTTTTATATGCAAAACACTAGATGACAAATCAGTCATGTAATATTGATACTTTCTTCTGTTCACTAAAGGATCTTGTTTTTTTTACTAGACCTAGCATAATCTAAAACTTATAATATATAAATAATAGCTATATATTAGTTTTATATATATAAATAGAAATAGAAAAAAATCTACTTATACTGGTTTTAACACTTTTTTTTAGATTTTGATCTTTTTTTTAAAAAAGCAAAATAGGATCAGAGCTGATTTTTGAAATAAGTATTAGTATTTTTTTTTGTTATTCTTTTTAGTATATTGAACTAAATATCTTTCTTTAGATTTTATTAGTTTAAAATCAAAAATTGAAATGTAAAAATATAAAATTTGAAATGGTTTATTAGTTATTTTCTTCACTTACATAGTTAGAATTTGTATTATATAAGAGCTGCTAAGGGAAAACCACAGTTTGGGATTTCAATTATATTTTGTACTAGACACAATCTCTAATAAATTAGATAGATAATATTTGGTAAAAAAATATATTTAATACTTCACTATGGCTTCACAATATTGTAATTGATAATTAGATCTATTAGTCTATTAGGTTGTATTGTTATTACTATAACTAAGATTACAAATTTATAAATTTTTTTTTCTTAAGCAGTCATATTAGTACTTTATTAAAATTTAGAAATTACATTTGCAATTACATAAATTTCCTTAACAACTAAGACTAGCATTACCTGGCCACCTTAATAGTACCTAAGTGCAACCTGTCACATTATTTCAAACAGAAGTAAGCTACTTGTTTAACTACTTAAAGTCCATAATGAAAGGATTTTCTTTTATTCATATCAAGTTCCAACATTGTCTTCTGTGTTTCTGTTCTAATTTGTTCTTTTTTTTTTCTTATTTTTTCTTTTTTTTCTTCTATTTTTTGCTAATTTGCCTTTTTTCTTTTACATAATCACAGCTTCTTTTTTTCTCTTTCTTTTTTTAATCTACTTATTATTTCTACTTTTCTCTTCTATTTACTAATCTTCTTATATCAAACTCTCCACACTTGTTTATAAAATGTATTTCAGACTATACTTGCTATTATATTTGCAAACTGCTGTCTTGCCTTTATGTTTAGAAGCTGCTATAATCGATTTTGTGTTTTTTTTAAAAATTAGGCCTTTAATTAAAGCCTCTCTTATTCTCATTTTTTCTGCTTTCATTTTATCAAAAAGTGCTATATATAACACATATAGAGGGATTCAACCTTTTTTCTTTTTACTATATTCCTTCAGGCTATTGCAATGATTACTTTTTAAATTCTTTTCTATAAGTTTCTTTGTCCTTTGCATGCTGCTAAATGCATCTGTGTTTTTTTGACTTTATTTTTGCATACTTGGCATTTGGTTGTTGTATAAACATCTGGTCTTCTTTTGTTAAGTTTTTCTAGAGTCAGAAGTTTGTTTATCATGCATTTTATAAATGCACTTCTTCTGGCACTAATTCTTCTTATTGTATAATGCACCCCTTTCATTGTCTTTAGCCTTTTTTCAAAAATATGTTTAATTATAGATTGTAACTTCCGATACTGGTTCTAATTCTTTAATTGTTTTTGTTTTTTTTCATTTTGCTTTTATTCTTGCATTTGTTATTAACTTATATAGCAATCTTGCTAGTATGTTAGTTTATTTATTTTTCTACTCTAAGCAGTACTCTATTTCTTTACAACTGACTTTTTTGACCTGTATTATCTTTTTGCTTGTTGCTTTTTTTTTTACTAAGCTATTAGCTTTATTATTTTATTTATTTTTACTGTGACTCTTTACTTTAACTAACTCTATCTGGATGTTTTTTGTTGTAATAAGGTCTCTGATCTTTATTATCCATATTGTGTTCTTCTTTTTGCAGATCTTGTTTTTATCTGTTTGTTCTAAACCTCTATTAATGTTTTTTATTGTCATATTACTATTTGTATATATTTCTATTTGCTTTCCTTTTGGTATCATTAATATTGCTATCCATATTGCTACTACAGTTATACCTCTATATAATCATTCAATTTATCTAATATTTTTTAATAATTATATAGAGGGGTAATTAAATAGAATTACCTCTTTATAATCATACAATATAAAATAATATATATAATATGATTTTAAAATATATACAAAGCTAATTATAACTAACACAAATAAATATTTAGTTTATTTACTAAACTACTTTATATAATTGAAACTTTTAATATTTTTATTAAAGATGCAGACTTATAACATCACCTAGTTACATTTTATATAAAAAATTAGTTTATAAAATAAAATACAATTGCAATTGAGCTGTAACTAGTAACATAAATAAGTCTGCATTTATAAATTTTATATATTAATTTATACCAGGAACATAATAATATAAATTACAAAGTGTATGGTTAACAGACAACTAGAATAGCCAGTATGCAAATTCTGAATTATAATTGAATAATAATTAGATATATTAAATTTATAATAAGTTATATGCTTAAATAAATATGCAAAATTGTATACAAATCATGTGTTTGTTATTCTGTATTAATAGAGCTAATGAAGCTCAATAGTTTTGAATTGAGCTCAAAAAACTAGTATCCATTAGCTCTATTGGGCTTCATTAAACTCCATTGTATTCTATTGCCAACCTTGAACCTGTATATATTAGTATATTCAATTATAATAAAATACTATATAATATTTTATTTTTATATAGTAATAATGAAATTAAGCCTTTAGAATTTTATATACACACCAAGTAATAGATTTATCTAGTGATATTTCAGATATCTGAAGTTATTACTACAAAAGTAGGTATATCTTCAAATTCAATATGTATGTATTTATATTAATATTTATTTTATTTTTTGAATAATATACATATATAAGATTGATTCATTATTTATAAATTGTCAGGTTATCAAATCTGAATATCATTGAGATTAAAATCTTACTTTGTTTAACCAATAATCTCTACTTTATATGTTCACAGAAAAGCTACAATAATATCTAACTCTTAGAATAGATGTAAAAATGTATATAAATTACAATAGTTAAATATTGACAATTAAAAAAAAAAGAACCATTATGTAGTAATAAAATTTATTTTTTAAAAAAAAACTTTAGAAAATATATATGCTACGTTCCTAGTTTAAGCATGACTGCATTGCACAGCTACTACTAATTCTAATAACATTAAGTTATGCTAGAATAGAATAATTAAATATTGCTTACAGGTTTTATTTGAAGTTATTATTAATATACTATAAAGCATTGTATTCAAGTTGGCCAGGATGGCTTCCAAATTGCAGTTATATGAACAACAACTAAATAATTTTCAAATTAAAGAAGTGCTATTTATTACCTAATTTCTTTTTATTAGAAGGTCAGACCCCCTTCTCCTAATCAATTAAAATTTTATATTGTATGCTGTAGTTGCAGCTTATATAACTGTACTTTGGGAAGACTACACTGGCCGAACCACTGTATTCAGTATTTCCAAATTAAGAGCCACATATATTTCAATACTATCATGCAAAAATTTTAACCTATATCAGTTTGTAAACCTTGTGATGTTCAATAAAAAGAAGCACTATCTAAGAATTAGTTCAATATACTTCTTAAATTGCATACTCCTCTTTATACAGTATTATTCAAGTACAAATCAAGTTAATTAGAATATTTTAAATTTATACCCTGAGTACTAAATACAATGCTTTACAAATTAAAGTTCAAACTAATCTCTTATATCCAATGTACTATATCATATATCTGTTGTATGCTGAATAAATTTATTGAAAATTTAGAATATATTTAAAATAAATTAAATAGATTCTGAATTATTTTTATTGAGTATATGTTTTAAAATTTAAGTCTAAAGATTTATTTATAATGTGGCATGTTTATAGTTATGACAAATTACTTTTTTTTTTTATATTTATGATAATTTTATTACAAATGCTTCTCGAATGCTTATGAGCATTGAATAAATGCTATCTAACTTCAAAAACTTGTCAGAACTCAATGAACATAGATAGTTTTGAGTCAAGTTTAATAAGTTGTAAAACCTTAATACAGATATCAAAGTCTTTATATATAATAAAGATTTATATTGCTATTAGCTGATTTGCTGCTAAGATATTTGAAAAATGATTAAATACATTATGAGATAAAAAAATAATCTCAAGATTCAGTCATCAGATGGCATTACAAAGCTTAACACTTTATATCAGAATTTATTTTATAAAAACCAAGTTTTTAAATTCACAAAATAGAATCTAAAGGTTTAGAACCAAAGCCAAACCCAGCTAACTAACCAATCGAGCATGATTTTTCTGTTTAAAAAAAAATTACCTAGCACTAACTATAATAGTAAAAAAAAATATCAAAATAAAAATAAGAAAAAAATAAAACAAAAATCTTGTTATTAATTCTAAATATGTAAAAAAAAATCAGTAATAGATTTTTGTTTCATCGATTTTACATATTTCTTTTTTATTAATGACAGGTATTTTCTAAAAATTTTTAGATCCTCTATATTAAAGTTACAACTTTGCTGCTGCTCAACAAAACCAATAAATTTTTTTAGTTCATTTAATCCTTCTATAATAGGAATTTTAGGTGGTTCTTTATCAGTATTGCTTGTATTACCTTTTTCTAATTCCTGTTGTTCATTCAACACAATATTAATAATCTGCTCTTCGCTAAGAACATCTTTGATAAGTACTGGAGTATCATTTATATAGTTGAATTTACTTAGTTGGTGTTCAATTGTTGAATCTGACAAGTTCATTGTTAGATCTATGATTAATTCTTTAATGTTATTATTTTCAAAATCTGCTAAGTCTTAAACAGCAAGAATAGCATCCTCGATCTTAGCATCTAGTAATAAAAGAATTTTTGTTTTGTTTCAACAATTCATGATGGTTGATTCTTCAACTTCATTCTATGCTTCTGCAATATAATAAATTGCATCTCTAATGTTTAGTTTGTTTCTGTACAAATAAAAATATTTTTTTAGATTTTTTAATTTTATATAAAAAACCAATTGAAATTAAAAATAAAAAATCAGTATTGTAAGCTAATCTAAAAAAACAAACTTAACTCACAATACTAGCATAAATAGGTGTATAAAAACAGTGTTGGTCTATGATCTGTTATGACCTATTGGCTAGTAATAAATAATTTATAAAATTACTAGTGTTATATTATAATTATTTTGGTCATATAAAGTTCTAAATGGCCAATATTATATAAAGACCTACTTAATAATTAATTTACTATAAAATTAGGCCCAAATATGAATTATAGTTTTTTTTTAAACTATAATGCATACTATGCATATACATTTTAGAAAATTTCCTTTATATAATTGGTAAAATGGAATAGATCATATGCTTATTTATACAAATTGAATATTATAAGACTATATAAATTTTGTAAAAAAGACAAATATAATGTAATTTTTGTAATATTTTAAGAAAGAGTTTTATATTGCCATTTGCTACTGCATACTATAGCTAGTATAATGCAATCTTTGATATATATTATACATCACATGCATATATTAATGGTACTTTAAAAATTATTTACATTTATTTTTCATAGCAAATATGTGCAGTATGCAGTGGTAAATAGTAATATGTTTTTACTTTTTTAAGTCTTTATCTTTTTCAAATAAATGTCAGAATAATCTGGAATCCTATAGGGGTGACTAGTGCCATGATGTTTCTTGCTAATATGAGAAATCTGTCCATGTTTGCGATCATGTCTACATCCTTTTTGCTTATTAATATTATCAGTATTTAATCTTGGACAACTACATTGTGCATGTAGGATTTTAGATAAGCTTGCAAGAACTTCTTCCTCTGATTCTAATTCTTTGCTTTCTTATTTTTCACTTCCTGATTCTTTATTTTCTAATTCTTCACTACTTGATTTTTCTTTATTACTCAATTCTTCATATAGTTCTAGTGTATTTTTATTATTATTATTATTATTAGAATTGTAATGACTCATTGCACTATTAACTAACAATAAAATTTTTCAGTTTTCTAAATGAAATTTTTCATCAAGCTTTGAGAGCTATTTATAGAATATTTCGGTATATATCCAAGCCTTTAAATTGGCACAATACATTATAAGTAAGGCATTATAATTTAAATGAGCTAATACATAGGGCTTGATAGATGATCCAATTACTATAGATTTTAACTTTTCAGTCTCAGTTAGAGTTAATACTTCAATCTGGATATAAATATATCTGGATTGATATTTTGCTAAAAATTTATATTAAAACATAGTAATATTATCTGGATATAATTCAGATATAAAATATATCTGGATATAAAAACATAGTAAAGTATTAACTCTAGTCCCAGTTGCATTTGTGTTTAGCATAATGGTAATATGTGCATGATCCTAGAAATAATGAAATAAATTATGATAAAATTAATAAATTAAATAAAATATACTGATACTAAGAGGTTTTAGAATTAAAAAAAAAAAAGTATTATGAAAATAAATAAAATATTAAAAATTTTATTTGCTTTAAATTTTAAAATTCAAAAATGAAATAAAAAAATTTGAAGACTTATTTTTATATAATTATTAAACTTTAAATAAATCTATTAGTATTTTTATAATATATTCATATATTTTAATTCTGAAACCTATACTTGCTATCCAAGTTAATACAAATTCTAAAATTCAAAAGGACAATGTTATTTATAAAATATTAAATAAAAAAAATAAATTTAATACTTTGTAAATATATTCTGTATGACTATATAAATATATTTAATTTGTTTAGATAAAGATTATTAATTAAGATTTGAGATATTAATTATGCTGAGTTTGTGATTTGGAGTTTAGGTGTGGCAAACTATAATAGCTTAAGATTTAGGCAGCAAGTATACTGAAACCCTTTAGTTCAAGTTTGAGTAGATTAAAAAAACTTTTTTCTATCCTAATTGTGATTGCATCGTAAATGTTTGGTGCAGTGCTATATGAAAATATAAACCTGTTTCATCTGCATTAAACTCATTATTTAAAAAATATTTTTCAATTACTTTACATAGCTTTGCCCTTTGTTCTGAAATTAATTCTAATAAAGCAATATTAGCTTCTCTGTGTAGCTGGTAATTCTGCAAATTATATCTTTTTTTAAATTTCTGAACTCAACTATTAAAAAATTTTAACACATTATTTAGCAAACCAAGTGACAGGGCAAAAAAATTTGCCTTTTTTTTAATAATTGCTTTTGTCAAAAAGATTTTATTATCTATGATCTGCTCAACCCACAGCTGCATAGCTTTGTCTAATAAAGGAAATTTAACTTTTTTGTAGCAAAAAACAGTCATATTAATGTTATTATTAATGATTTGCAACCATTTATTTTTTTCTTTTAAAATTTTTGAAATAGTTGAATGTTCAAGGTTTAATGCTGATTCCTTTTGATTAAAATATTGTGCAATATTTAAATGTGTTTTATTCAGAAATTTAGCACTATATTCACAAATTTTTTTCTTTAAACTATTACTAATAGCCATTCTTGCTCTTTTATTCAACATTTCTTAAGCTTAGAAACCTTTATATCTTTATTAGAAAACTGTAGAATTTTAATTCTATAAAACTTTACCTATGATAAAATTAAACTTAAACTTGACTTATGATGAAACTTGACTCACAGTAACCATTAACTCAAGATAAAACTTGTACATTATGAATAAAACTTAATCACAGTAAAATAAGATTTAAAATCAATTTTATATAGCAAAGCTAATAATGGTAAACTTAACCACAAACTGTAAAAAAAAAAAAAAAAAAAAAATTTAATCTTTTTTTTTTTTTTGCAACTTAATTTTGATGCATTTATATGTTTTATTCTAGTACATTTTGACATTTAACTTATGCAAATATATGTTATTTATCATTGTTATTCATAATGTTCTTATGCCTGTACATATATAATAAAACTCAAGTATAATTAAGAAAAAAAAAGCTTGTTTATGTAATTGCTTAGCTATAACATATGTTTGTGAATATGTGTATATAAGATTTGGTTGTTGATAAAGAATATAAACATACTAGCATATGTACATAAATATATATTTTTTATCTTACTGTCTGGGCCATGACCAATATTATGATTCTTCATTAACAAAATCTTAAATAGACAGTAATTACATACAATTGGTGTATTGGTATAATTTATACCAAAGGTAATTTATAAATCCACTTTTTTTAACTATATATATAATTATTAATAAGCATGCATATAGTAAATTACTTCAAAATTACTGCAGTTTTTAATATAGTATGAATCTCTAAGAATTCAGTAACTAGAATTCTCTAAGTAGTTTTTCCCTTGTTATTAGTACTTATCTATAAATTGTTATTTCTTTTGATTATTTTCTTGTCTCTGTAATTCATATACGACCCATAAGTGTTAATTAGAAAAAGATAAGAGAATGATCATATTAATAATCAAGACTCTTTTTATATAAAATTAATAGTGATTATGTTTGTGATTGTTACAAAATACCTATGTAATCATATTTTAGCATCCCTGAGTACTGAAATAAGTCATAGAATCTGAAAATAAGCAGTAAACTTGAATTTAAGAAAAAATTCAATAAAGCTATTAGTATTGAGTTAATATCTAAAAGGAAATGCAACAAAAGTAAAGAAGATACTTATCCAAATCCTAGTAATATATTTGCAAGATCTAAAGTTCCCAAACTTGGACCAAATCCAACCAAGCCTCGATCAAAGCCTACCAATTCTGGATTTTTTTTAGTCTTGTTAGATACTATTGTTGTAGTGTCGAGTTGTATATTGCACTATTTGTTAATATTAGAGCCAAATTACACTTCTACTGATAGCTACTTTCACTTATTATTTTACTTCTTGCATAACATCTAACCATGCATTCAGCAAAATAATTTATCTGCAAAAGACTAATACATTCTGTTAATAAATAAAAAAAGAATTATAAATAACTAATAGGATATAAATGTATGCACATTCTTTTGAGTAGGGTTGTTAATGGAGTAGCTTGCTCTGGAGCACTCCGGAGTAGAACCCAACCCAAGTTGGAGTGGGTCTAAATTTTTATTTTTAAGTTTGGAGCAACCTGGAGCAACCCGGAGTAGCTATAGAGCAACCCGGAGCAAAATGCTGGAGTAAGTTTAATTTACTGGAGTGGGTTAAGAATTGGATTAACCCAACCCAACTCAACCCATTAACACCCTACTTTTGAGGAACCATAGGATCATATACAGAAGAAATTAATTATAAAATAGTTAATGTAGTGATTAGTAATTAAGATTATTATTATAATGTAATTTAAGAGTCAATTGTAATTTATTAGTAATGAATATAAAAGCCAATTAGTGAATCAGTGATGTAATCGTATATGACAATTAAATAAATAAAAGGTTCGATCTGAAAGATCAAACCCATATTTTGATTTTTGTGATACCTTTGAGATAATGTAGTAGCACTTTAAGTAGTAAAGATGGTAAAGTCATTATAAGGTGAAGATTGGCTTAAGAATCAAAAAGAGAGGTAAAATATGTAAAGCAAGTAAAACATATAATGAACAGAACCTTCAAACTAGACATTTAATGTTGCAGATAATTGTGAAATTGAATGATGATGAAATTTAAATATATTTTTATGTACAATTTTTAAATTTTTGAGGGCTTTCTCTGTTGACTTTTTTTTTATAGTTAAGTTAGGATTTAGGGTTAGACTTATTAAGAAATAAGTATAGATAGATGCTTGTAG